GAAAGCCTGGTTATCCACTGCTAACACGGAGTCAAAGAAGCTGGCTCCTCGCTTCATTGGGCCGTTCTGCATTGACACTGTGATTAATTCTGTGACGGTTCGGTTGAAATTGCCTGCTAACATGAAGATTCATAACGTGTTCCATATCTCCCAGCTGAAACCTGTCTGGTCGAGTCCTGCTGTGCCTGGGGCATAATCACACGCATCTGCAGCTGATCAGCCTCATCTTTGGGAGCTACTTATCAGAGTAACTGAGCTCCCATCGACGCCGCACCAAGCACTGCCACTTGTTTAATCAGCTCTTTTTAACCTCTACAGTCTTTTCTTTTTACTTTAGTAAACTCTTAAAATTCAACAGACAGCTGGTGCTTAGAATTTCTGGACAGGTTGGAGTCTTCATGATCAACCTGGGTGGTTCAGGCGCTGCTCCTCTTGGTGGAAATGCGCATTTCTTGTTCCCCCTTGTATAAAAAAGACTTTTTATGTTAGTTTTAATTCAAAATTCACAGTTAAAAAAAATCAATACAGCAGGGTTTGCTGATTCAGGAAACAATGAACATTCAACGAACAGAAATATAAACAATTTTAAACAACAAAATTGTCTATCAGCTAGGACTGAAATATACAACAAATCCAAAAAGTAAAAAGATAAAACTCTAGGAACAAACTAAAGGACAAGGCCACTTTTATATATTAATACTGTCCCAAAACTTTGTGGAGCAGGCATGACTGGACGGAAATCTAAAAAAAAAACCCCACAGCTTTATCGCTTGATAGAAAAAATATAAAACTAAACAAGGAGAAACTCAACATTACACACACAGAAGAAACCACAGCCAAAAGGGTGATCAGGACAACAGGCGCTCTTGTTCTGGATGTTAGACGTTCCCAATATGTGTTGGTGGTGGGAGTCAAAGAGGAGGTACTGGTCCTTGTGTGTGGGCTCCCGGTAACTTCAATGTTGAGGTTTCGATTCCCTTCAACAGTCCAGCAATGGCAAACAGTTATCCTTTATGTCTTCCCTGGTGAACTTTATGTTTTTATCCACAGTGTTGATATAAGCAGTGAAGGATTCTACTTTATATTTTGCATGGTTGGATCTTAACAAGGTTACAAGTAGAGCTTCAACATTCAACAAGAAGAAATGGGAGTTAACAAAACATTATTTTGAGCACGGGGCTGCAGCCTGTTTCATTTCAAGCACTGTTTTCAATAAACTGCATGCTCAAAATAATGTTCTGTCTCACTCCCATTTCTTCTTGTTGCATGCTGAAGCTCAACCTGTAACCTTGTGAAAGTCCAACCATGCAAAATATGATCTTTTTGCCCTTTTTCAGGTGGTCTTAAACTTTTGATAGGGACTGTGCTTTCATTAACAACAGAAGCTATCTGCTCTGCATACAATTTTAAAACAATTAAAATAAAAAGATTTAAAGTTTTCAAAAAATGAAAAGATAAAAACATCAAAACAGAAAAAAAGTGATAGATGATGCATCTGTTGATGAACTGTGATTTATTATATACTTTTGTTTTTGGTAGCAATCAGTCAGACCTAGTAAAACTTTTCTTTTCTTTGTTTGATTTTATTTTATTTTATTGATTTGAGAAAACATCTAGTTTTCCACTCAGTGAAATAGAGTTACCCGTCCACTGCACAATCAATAGTAAAATTCATCTTCTCACCCAGCATCAGACAGCCACCATTACCGTGTATGGCACTGGCCACAAATAATTTCATATTGTAATCCTTATTTTGTTATTGAAGTGAAAACCTACTTTTATGGTTCCGTCAATAGAATGAAACAAAACTGACAACGGTACAGGTGCTTCTCCAAAGGCTACAATATTGTAGTCTATACTTCCTCTGCCATACTGTTCAGGTAAAAAAAAAAAAATGTTTGACAGTAGTAAAAAATACTCTGTCATTTTTTTAGGATGAAATTTGGTTACTTTTCTCAACGTGACTCAAACACAGTGACTTAGGAGAGTATCTACACACTATGTCCCCCCCAGTCCCCAAAAATCCAGGCACCTGGCCATCTTTCAGAGATCATGGGAGAATCTGATACATGATGGATGATGATACATGGTGCACATGAAGAAGACAGTCAGAGGATGGTTTTAGAGTTGGTGCCTTAACACAAGCACTATCACTGTCATGGTGCTGAGTCTTTGACACAGTGTTTTGAGTTTTGTGTGGATTTATTATTATTCTTTCCTTTGAGTTAAGAAGATTATTTAACTGTACAAGGCTTGTCCAGTTTAGTTCTTTTGGTCTCTCTGACTTTCAAATAAAACTTAATACTTACCACACATATGAAACAACAAAATAGTTGACCTCAGAGTTTCACAACTTTGCAAAATTCTGACAGAGTCATACTGTTGCAATACAAACTATATACATATCCAAATTTAGTCATCTTCAGCCTGCAGAGAAATTCAACAGTCTCTTTTGTAATGATTTTGTAATGATACAGTGACAACAACAGTCAACCCCCCACCCCTCGCACAGAGTTATATTAACCTGTCAAATCTTTATTAGGTATTTTTCTACAATCAGTCCATCCAAAACCAACAAGGCAACTTTACTTAAGGTACGTAACCTTTGTTATTTTGCTGCAGGATCTGTTAGGCAAAAATGTTAACCACTAAACTCTGCAGATACAGATATATTTTGATTTAAATAATAAATGACGCTAATTAATTAACATTAAGTAACTTGACTTTGTGAAACTTCTTGCTTGTAATACAGTAAAATACTGTAAAATGTTGGAATTAGGTCTTTCTTTAAAGCACTTTGGAATGGAGGAAATATTTTTATTGAACAATACCGAAGAGTTGAAAACATTTAAAAAAGCATTTTACGTGATCCGAGCACATATTTATCATGGTCCAGTCAGTGCAAAGGAGCAAAATGACCAAGTGGCAAGTGTTTCATTTAAATATTAAACATCTAGTTGTAATTTATTAATATAAAAATGAAATATAAGTATAAAATGTATAAAAAATTAAAAATGACTTTTAATTACATTTATGTCGTAGGTCTCAAGACAATAATGGAGTCGACCACAAACTCCCTCAATCAAATCAATACAACTGCTGTACCTGATGGAAATGGCCATACATTTAAGTATCCCGGGTTGAAGCTGTCTCTCAACACCATGTCTATCATTGTTTATTCCCTGATCTTTCTCCTTGGTGTGGTCGGGAATGGAGTGGTTATCTGGGTCACCGGGTTCAAAATGAAGAAAACTGTTAACACAGTTTGGTACCTCCACCTTGCTGTGGCTGACTTTATCTTTGCAGCATATCTGCCTTTGAATGTGACATACAAGATTTTGGGGATGCACTGGCCGTTTGGTAAGATCATGTGCAGGCTGAACACCATGGTGCTCTTTCTGCACATGTTTGCCAGTGTCTACATTCTGGTGGTGATCAGTGTGGATAGATGCGTCTCTGTAGTCTGGCCCGTGTGGGCTCAGAATCATCGAAATATGCGTAAAGCGTCCTGTGTGAGTCTGTGTGTTTGGATACTGGCTTTTATTCTCAGCGCTCCATGCTTTTTCTTCAGGAACACTGAGAAAGTGTTTGAGAAAGGCAAAATCCTCTGCTTCAACAGCTATGCTATTTCTGATAACTATGAATTACCATCTGTTATTCAGATGCAAAAGTTTCGTCATCAGGCCATGATCATCACCCGTTTCTTCCTGCTTTTTGTTGTTCCCTTCACTGTCATTGTGTCCTGTTACGCTGTCATCATCAAGCATCTCAAACGAAACCGTGTCCTGGCCAGCAAGTCAAGTCGCCCCCTCAAGATCATTGCTGCCATTATCATCACTTTTTTTCTGTGCTGGGCTCCCTTTCACATCATGAGTCTCATTGAGCTGGTGAAATTCAGAGCTGCTGCTCCAAATGAAACGTTAGTCTATGTCATTGCTGTTGGGAATCCTCTTACTAGAAGTTTGGCATTTTTTACCAGCTGCCTGAATCCACTGCTGTATGTGTTCATGGGACAAGATTTCAAGAAAGAAATCCGCAAATCCATCCTGAATTGGCTCGAGACTGCCTTCCAGGATGTGGAGGCACACTTTCACACTTACTCAAAGACAGAGGACACCAGTCAGAGCAAAGATAATCAGATTTGAATATTGACATGAGAAGCTGTCACCATTGTGAATGTGTGGTTTTGGACTTAAAAAAAAAACATTCACACATCAAACCTTTTGCATAATCTTACAGTTTAATTTTAATATTAATATATTTAATAATGTTCTTTTCACTTAAAATAAATTACCGTAGAATAACAGCAATTGATTTATCTAAAACCATAATGTTGAAAATTTACTGGGTAATTTGCATTATGATATGAGATTTGAAAACAAAAAAGATTGTACTTGGACTTAAAATTTGATGCTAAATAATAAAGAGTGCAAAAGATACTGACAGGAGTAACATCATAAGCTTGACTTTAAAACTGTGTATTATAATGTCTCCTTCAAGTAGAGAGAAATGAGTTATTGATGACTGCAGCAGCTATTGTGACTGCCTTAGAAACAGCAGCAAAACCGAAGGTTTGAATAACATAACATCTTGCACATTAACCTCACAAACTTGAGGGGTTATGTTTTTTGTTAGCAATAGCTAAATGTTCTGTATTCAAAAGAGTGACTAGGGTATACTCCCTTTGCATTTTAAAGGAGTGGCACTCCAGTTAAAAAATGTCATTTTAAGGATTATCTCTAGCTATTCAGACCTATTTTGATAAGAATTTGTTGGTTAAATTTCATAAAATTTTTTATCATCATCATCATTGTTGTTTATTCTAAGTGATATTTGATCATGTTAAATCTGTACTTACACAAATAAAACCTTAAATATTGTAAAACCTGTGTTTTTTTTAGGAAAAGCTCAAAGTTCATTCTCAAAAGGTTGATTCTGTTCATCTGGAAGTCGCGTTTTTTAGTGGAAGAAGCATTTCGTCACTCATCCAAGTGACTTCTCAACTTACTGCAGGCTTTTCCAACCTCATAAAGAGTAAAGTGACACAATAACTGAAACTAGCCCACTGAATGAACAGTGGGCTGTGAAGTCAGCTGCTTGATCAAAAATATGCACATAGCAGCACTGACAAATCCAAAGATCTATAAAACAAAATGCACATTTCTTTGTTTCCATTAATACACATTTGGGAATTTTTCCAATTATGGCCTTCAGAATCAGTTCGCTTCCACACTCACCGGTGATCTTGAGACAGCGCGAGAAGGCCTGCAGTAGGATATTTTCTCAAAATGCTACAATGACAAATTTTCAAACAAAAATAAAACAACATTAAGAAGTAAAAAAATATGTTTACAGCATTTTATAGATGAGAATTTAAATTTACTTCCATACAGATTGACAAATGTGCATTTGTTAAAAGAAAACCTAATAATGTTTCCATTAAAATATTAAAATGTAAAATAATCATCAATCTTGCACAAAATTCCAAAAATCTATTTATGCAATTCCAGTTGCCTTTTTCACTTCTACACACAAACTTCAGAGGGCGCTGCTGTTCACTAAGTGGAGACAGCATCAACAAATACAGTCCCGATCAGAAGTTTCAATTCAAGTGCTGTTTTGTCTCACTCCCATTTCTCACTCCCATTTCTTCTCTTTGGATGTTGAAGCTCTACTCAGAACCTTTTTAAGATACAATCATGCAAAATGTGATTTTTTTGCCATTTTTCATCGATTTCAATTATCGATGGGATCTTAACAGTTGTGGATTTTGCTTAGAAAAACTACAAATGACAGTTTATGTATTGAAAGTAGTTTGAGCCACTCTTTTAGACAGTTTTCTAGTCGAGGTTTGAGTTGTGACTTCTACAAAATGAATACTTTCATAGATGCTGTTATGTCAAAATCTTCATGTGTGTACATGCACAGACCACACGTGCATAATGTTGTGCACATAAACTCACCGATGTATATGACAACTTAAGTTTGTGGCATTAAATTTGTATTGTAATTTTAAAAAATGTAATACAAACATTTAATAAAGTTTTAATAGACACCTTTCAAAACACTCAAGTACTCCTTATAAGCAAATTAAATAATAAATTCAAAGTCTGGATATTAACAGCTGGAAGACACAAAAACTCAGAGGACGAAAAAGGCAAGAAGTAAGAAAGAGGAAAATATCCACAGGCAAATCCAGTGAACTGCACCTCAACAGTGTTTGTGGTCTTATAAGCTCTTCTGGGATTTTTAGTTTGCATACTTGGATGATTCAAATGAATGATTCATATATTATGCTAAATATATACATATTTTTCTATTAAAGTCCCCCTCTACAGCCTGTTGTTTCTTAGATTCAGCAATGAAACTGAGGCTACGTCCACACGTACATGGGTATTTTTGAAAACTGAGATTTTCCATTTTCGTAACAAAAAATAAAATAAAAAATCCTGTCCACATGTGCAGTTTTGAAAAAATATCTCCATCCACATGTCAACGCTAAAAACGAAATGTTGGCCAATCAGAAGCAGCCTGGGAGGGAAAGGCTAAACAAGGTTTTGTACACTCACAAAACCTTAAGTACTTCCAAAAAGTTTTTGTTTTCCTGGAATGGCAGATAATTTTGTGTTACTTCAACATTTTAAAAGTTAATAACTAAAGACAGTATTTTGGGTGGTGTAGACACACAACTTGGGAATAAACTAAATGCATGCAAAGTGTCAGATGAGCAGCAGAATAATGTTGTAACGTTTGTCCTGTAAAGCATCCACGGGACACAGGTGTGGGGACAGCAATACTTTTATTAATACTGTGGTTTTAGGTTCACTGGGACACAGTCACTCCCGTCCGCTCTTCCCCCTCCGACTGTCACTGCGAACATATAAAGAGTGACAATCACCTTCACTTCTCAGCACACCTGTTCATCCGGCCCCTGCGCCGCCCCGGGAGCTCACTGCATCACCCCTTCTCTGCAGCCGGCCAGAGACCACACCCACGCCACACATCCCCACCGCCCAACTGAGGCCGGGGCCCATCCGGCTGAACCTACTCCCACCCCCGCGAGCGGGAGAGGAAATCGGCCACCACCATTTGCGCGCCCGGCCTATGGATCACCTTGAACTTAAAGGGCTGCAGAGCCAGATACCACCGAGTGATCCAGGCGTTGGCATCCTTCATGCGGTGGAGACACTGCAGTGGGGCATGGTCTGAGCAGAGGGTGAATGGGTGTCCCAGGAGCTAGTAGCGAAGGGAGTCGACCGCCCACCGGATCGCTAGGCACTCCTTCTCCACGGTACTATACTGTGGCTCGTGAGTTTCCGGCTGATGTAGACGACCGGCCGGTCAACTCCCCCTACCTGCTGGGACAAAATGGCCCCCAGCCCTCTGTTCGAGGCGTCAGTCTGCAGACAAAAAGGGAGGGAGAAGTTAGCCGTGAACAGCAGCGGCTCTCCATAGAGAGTCCACTGGACCAGATCCGGAGCACCCTTGCGGGTGAGATCAGTTAGAGGGCTGGTCAGGTCCGCGAACCCTGGTACAAACCGCCGGTAGTAGCCGGCCAGCCCCAGAAACTGTCTCACCTCCTTTTTCGTCTTGGGACGTGGGCAGAATGCAATCACCGCCGTCTTCTCCACTTGAGGTCGCACCTGCCCGCCCCCCAAATGGTACCTCAAATACTGTACCTCCCTCCGTCCAACCGCACACTTCTTTGGGTTGGCCGTGAGCCCCACCTGCCCCAGAGACTCCAGCACCTCGGCCACATACCGCCCATGTGTCACTGTAGATGATGACGTCATCTAGATAGGCGGCAGCATAGGCAGCGTGGGGCCGCAGCACCCGGTCAATGAGGCGCTGAAAGGTGGCAGGGGCCCCCAACAAGCCGAACGGAAGTGTAACGAATTGGTACAAACCGTACAGAGTGGAGAAGGCCGTCTTTTCCTTGGACTCTGCAGACAAAGGAATCTGCCAGTAACCCTTGGTTAAATCCAGTGTCGTGAAAAAGCGAGCGGTGCCCAACTGGTCCAGGAGCTCGTCGACCCGGGGCATGGGATAAGCATCGAAACGTGACACCTCATTCACCCTGCGATAATCGACACAGAACCGAATAGACCCATCCTTCTTCACCACAAGAACGATGGGGCTACACCAAGCACTGTGCGATTCTTCTATTACTGCCAGCCTCAGCATTTCCTTCAATTCCCGGAGAACAATTTGTCTTTTATGTTCCGGCAGCCTGTCGTGAATGCACCATCACGCCAGGCCGCGTCTCAAAATGGTGCTCTATGAGAGTACGGCCGGGTAAGGGGGAGAACACGTCGGCAAAGCGCTGTTGCAATGCAGCAACATCCGCCCTCTGGGCCTGTGTGAGATGGTCACTACAATGGAGGGAGGCGGGGATGTTAGATTTTGGCACCTCCGGCCCCAACTCATCTCTCTCTTATCAGGCTCACCACAGAAGCGGTCTCCGCCTCCCTCCAGGCTTTGAGGAGGTTGAGGTGGTAAATCTGCGTGGCTCCGCCCCTGTCCCATTGCACCACTTCATAGTCAACGTCCCCTACTCGCCGTGTGAACACGAAGGGCCCTTGCCGCTTGGCGAGTAACTTAGAGCTGGAAGAAGGAAGTAACACAAGCACTTTATCTCCCGGTGAAAATTGCCTGAGTTTCGCCCCTCTGTTGTACAGGCGTTGCTGCCGCTGCTGGGCCTGGAGCAAATTCTCCCGTGAGAGTCTCCCCAGTGTGTGCAGCTTTGCTCGCAGGTCCAGCACGTACTGAATTTCACTTTTCACAGGGCTCGGACCTTCCTCCCAGTTTTCCTTAATCAGGTCGAGCACCCACCACGGCTTTCTGCCGTACAACAGTTCAAAGGGAGAACATCCTGTGGAGGCCTGGGGCACCTCCCGCACTGCGAACAACAGAGGGTCTAACCAGCAATCCCAATTGTGTTCATCCTCGCGAATGAACTTACGAATCATGGAGTTTAAAGTCTTATTCAGCCTCTCTACCAGCCCATCAGTCTGTGGGTGGTAGACACTGGTCCAAATAGATTTAATGCCCAGTAATTCGTACAGTTCCCGCAATGTGCGCGACATGAACGATGTGCCCTAGTCAGTCAGTATTTCTTTCGGAATGCCGACTCGGGAGATGACCT